TTACCATTTTTCAGAAAACTTTGGCCAAAATGCTTTGATTTGAAATTGTGGGCAAGAGCTCTTTTGGAAAGACTAAGATTGTCATTGTTGCCGAGTTAGGTTGGTTAGTAGTAGATGTGTAAGACGTGCTTTGGTTGTAAACTCGGCTGGTAGAATTGAATCAGAACTGAGAGTTGTATGTGGAAGCGTGACCCAAGCTTTTTGAAGAAGTGAAATGTCATTCATTGTTGCCCAGGGGCTAAAAATGCAGTTCTTCTCTCTCTCCTATTTGAATGTTTTCATTTTAATTTTCATTAAGCGCCCTGATTTTGTGTGTTGTAAGGCTAGGTTATTGAGAGCACATAGCACATCATACTATTTGAGTATGAGACCTAGATAAGAGTCTTGGAATTATCACGTGTTTCAAAAACTGAAAACAGAATTTTTTATTTGCCTTTTTACTTTATTAGGGGGCCAATTGTACTATAACTACACGGTCAGCCAATGGACAAATAGCTTTAAAAGATTGGTGGAAAATTGGTGAATTTTCCTGTACTTGTGCTCCTCTTATGTATACACATGTATCTAATAGGGGTGTGTGCACAGAACCCATCCTGCTGGATGTATGAGGGGGCCTTCAGAACGTTTGTGAGAAAATTCCATTATCTTTAATTTCTATTTTTTTTAAAAAGTCATTGGGGGCTCTTACAGATATTACAGCAATCCATAAATCAGTTATATCAAGCAAACTTGTACATATGTTGCCATCATCATTTTTTAAACATTATCATTCTCCTTGAGCCCTTAACAGCTTTTTTTACCTCTTCCCTCGCCCACCTCCCCACCCTCGTTGACCCTTGATAAATTATATATTATTATGATGATGATTCTCATATCGTAAACTGTCTGCCATATCCCCAGATTTTAAAATCTATTTTCTTTTTAAAAAATATTTTATTGGGGGTCCATAACTTTTTTCCCGTTTGTTTGCATTGACTCCATGCCAGTGAGTTTGGTGTTTTGGGTCATACTTTGTTATCATATCCTCAAAAACCACACCAAACTCCCTGCCTTTGGAGTCTATTCCCACTGGCAGTGACCCT